AGTATGTCAATCATCAATGTGATACAAAAATGATAATGATAGCAATAGAAAATTCAAATTAAAAAGAAATATTTTGGGGGGTATAATTTATATATAATATATGATTATCGAGGTGCGTCAACTAGCCTGAAGCCAACTGACTCTGAACAAAATGGACCATTGGCCTTAAGCCTTAGTTTTAATAGTTAGTTATTTATGCAAAGATTAGTCTTGCCATTGCTAAATAATAGTTTATTAACAATTGACAATAGTGTTTCAAACTTTAATTATTTTTTTTTATCGCTGGTGGCTTTATATAATAAAATGGTATCAACTTTTCTTTGGTTCAAAAGTCTGCATGTCCTAAGGTAAAAGCAATAAATAAAAAGAAAATCACCCCACATATGAGTTATTTGATTCAAAGTCCAAAAATTGCAAGCTAAACAAATGCGATGACTGTGCAATATTTTTTTTTTTTTTGGCAATATGATTCTCATTGAAATTTATTAAATTTATTTTAAACTGCTGTTGACTACAATATAAGGAAGTCTTCATACTTCTTTCTATTCTATATGGACTATAGTTACACACAGTATTTAACGCATATTTCTTAACTTACCTATTTTTAATTTGTTAAAATTTTAGCTTATGAAATTATATGAAACATTAAAAAAGAATTGAGAAAGTAATTTGTAAAATAAAGGATTTAATTAAAATTAGTCTTACTATAATTTTCAAGGCTGAGAAAGAGACCAAACTATGGGTCAATGCAATGGTCAATGGTCATAGTCATGTCAATGTCATGGATACTTAAACTTAAACTTAATTTAAATTAATTAATTAATTAATGGCTATTAAAGTTAACTTATGTTTACATTTTTCATTTGCCTTTGATTTACACGTATATTTTTTTATATTCGGTTATATTATATATTTAGGATATATTTAATATATTATACAGTCTAAGTCTATACTACTTAATCCTACTAAGCCTACTACTATATGAGTATGGTGGGTCAAAAAGGCGACCATCCCAGGTGGAACATGTTACATGTATTAAAATTAAAAACTTAAAATGGACTTATTTCACTTATTCATTATTCATTACTATATTATAAGTACTATAAGTCATAATAAGTATTTATTAATTTAGGCATTTTTTATATAATATAGCGCTTACCTTAAATTCTTAAACTTAAAGCTCTAAGCGCTTTACAATTATTAAAAACATGTAAACTAAGTAAAATAAAAAATGAGACACTAGGATAGTAACTGCTATACTATAGAAACAATTGTGTATACCACAAATTTGAATTTTTTTTGTTGTTTTTTTAAGCTTTTTAACTTTACACTTTAGTTCATAAAATAATACATATATTGTCATTTGATGCCAACCAAATACTGATATTATTACTGTAGACTAGGAAGTAGTACAAAGTGTAAACGACAACAATAAGATTATCCTAAAGTAATATTAATAATTATTAATATAGAATAAAGGCAGGATAAATAAATCTTTATTTTAATTTTTTTTTATTAAAACCAATATGATCAAATAATGTTCCTAATTGCCTAAATAGGGCAATTGGCCTAACTGAGATGTATGGTAAGCCTAATAAAATTATTTAATATGAATATGCTATTTCAGAGTTGACAGAATGGNAGGAAGTAGTACAAAGTGTAAACGACAACAATAAGATTATCCTAAAGTAATATTAATAATTATTAATATAGAATAAAGGCAGGATAAATAAATCTTTATTTTAATTTTTTTTTATTAAAACCAATATGATCAAATAATGTTCCTAATTGCCTAAATAGGGCAATTGGCCTAACTGAGATGTATGGTAAGCCTAATAAAATTATTTAATATGAATATGCTATTTCAGAGTTGACAGAATGGGCTCTCGTCTGATTCCAGTCAAGATGCGACAAATTATTGCCAAAAAACTTGGCTCAAATTTCCGTGACGTTACTGAAATAGTTGAAACTGCTGTGCCTTCTCCAGGCCCAAACGAAATTCTTGTGAAAAATAGGTATTTTAAATTAACTTACTTGACTCAGTGTCAATAAACTAAAAGATGATATGGAGGCATATAGGCTAATAGACATGATTTTAGCCCATAGCTATAGTGTTAAATCAGCTCTAGCTATATCCAGGTTATTAGTCTTACTAACATTGTGTCAAATGGTCAGCAAGGTGCATTCTGAATCTGAAACATAACAAAGTAATGTACCGTAAAAAAAAATGTGTATATGCTTGTTTGAGTTTCCAAAAATTTCCAACTGAGAACTGCATAGAAAGTAATTAATTCTCTGTAAAAGTTTTACTATGTGTGAAGATTTGTTGTTTGTAACTGCATTTTTAAATTTATTTTACACAGATTTCTTGGTATCAACGCTTCAGATATTAATTACACCTCTGGTAGATATGACCCTACACGTAAACCCCCATTTCCAGTTGGATTTGAGGTATTATTTTTAATAGATCTAATAATAAATTCATAAGAGCTTAACAATAAAAAAACTGTCATGTGATATTTGGATTGTGCTTTTTCCTAAATTAAAGTATCTTTAAATAAAAACATGATATTTCATTATACAATTTTTCAGGCCATTGGAGAGGTAGTCACGGCTGGACCTGAAGCAAAAACAAAAGTTGGACAGAATGTTGTATATTCCAAATTTGGATGCTTTAAAGACTATGAAGTGAGTGACTATGATACACATTTAACCATTCATCCCTGTGGCACTACAGCCCATGTACAGCATGCCTCACCACATCCTTCCACTCGGATCTAACTGATGCTTTTCTTTTCCATGCTTGGATTCCCAGCTGCTGTAGATCACTCTCCACATCATCCATCCATCTCAGCCTAGGTATGCCTTTGAGCCGTTTTCCTCTGGGGTTTTGGTGGTGCACCCTCTTTACTCCTCTATCATTTGCATTCTTTCTAAGTGTCCAGCCTGGATAGCCTGCCCTTTTTTATTTTTGGTACTAGTGTGGAATCCTGATATAGACTATGCAATTGCTGGTTGGTTCGTATTCTCCATCCATATTCATCCAATGTACACATTTGATAAATGAACCAAAAATATAAATATTTCCTACTGCACCAATAAGTTTACAATGTAACTTAATTTAGAAAGATCATTTTCAGCCGCATATCATGATAACAATATCCAATACTCTACACACAATTCATTTCAAAATACTTCAAAAATATAAATATTTCCTACTGCACCAATAAGTTTACAATGTAACTTAATTTAGAAAGATCATTTTCAGCCGCATATCATGATAACAATATCCAATACTCTACACACAATTCATTTCAAAATACTTCCCAATAATGAATGAGTACATTTTCTGTTTAAAAACTGAAATATAATACAATTGTAATAATTGATGAATATAATTATCTTATAAAATGAAATGTCTTATAAAGATGATCAACAAAACAGAAATAAAAAAAAAGGAGGGTGATGGAAATCCTTTTGAGAATTGAACCCCCATCCATTTGAATGGCTGGCTTCTTTACCAAATGACCATAAAACAACGTATATTGCTAGGAATTAGACACAAATTAAATAGACAAAAATTGTATACCCAAACTATCTACCAAACTATCAATTTAGAACTATAATTGTTTATTAATATTTTGTCTAAATGAAAATTAGATTTTAAGGTCATGGTTTGTTTTATGAATGTTTCATTATAAGGTTATCCCTCACCTTGACTGAAAACAAAACCCCCATCCCTAGGGAAATAAAAGTCGGATAAGGCCACTTTCGATTTTGTCCTGGACCACTCCATTCACCACTAACAATGTCTATATCAAGTCATTTTGAGAACATGGGCTAAGGCACAGCTTAAAAATAAATATTTTTTTACCAAAAAAATTGAAAAAGCTAAAAAAAACTAATCTCAATGAAAAAAAATATAGATGTCCAGATTTATGTTAGTCAAATATTATTTAAAATTTTTTTGACTATATTGTTTCTAAGCTTTTTATATTCTAAATGACTTAACCTCTTTGTTGTTAAAGGTTGTTGATGACAAATCTGTTATGCCAATCCCAACAAGTGATCCAGCTTATCTAACCTTTATGGTTAGTGGATTGACAGCCTCTATAGCATTGGAGAAGGTAAGAAAAAAAAGTGGATTGACAGCCTCTTTAGCATTGGAGAAGGTCAGAAATACAGTGGATTGACAGACTCTAGCAGTGAAGAAGGTAAGAAATAAAGTGGATTGAAAGCCTCTTTAGCATTGGAGAAGGTAGGAAATACAGTTGATTGACAGACTCTATAGCAGTGGAGAAGGTAAGAGATAAAGTCGACTGACAGCGTCTATAGCATTGGAGAAGGTAAGAAATAAATTGGATTGACAGACTGTATAGCAGTGGAGAAGGTAAGAAATAATGTGGATTGACAGCATCTATAGCATTGGAGAAGGTAAGAAATAAAGTGGATTAACAGACTCTATAGCACCGGAGAAGGTAAGAAAAAAAGGGAATTGAAGCTTCTATAGCATTGGAAAAGGTAAGAAATAAAGTGGATTGACAGATTCTATAGCATTGAAGAAGGTAAGAAATAAAGTAGATTGACAGCCTCTATAGAAGTGGTTCGCAACCCGTGGGTCGCAACCCCTTTGGGGGTCCAATGACCCCTTTACACTGGTCCCCCTAGTCCATTGGAAAACGCATATACTCTACAGTTGTGAAGTAGCAACGAAAATAATTTTATGGTTGGGGGTCACCACAACATGAGGAACAGTATTAAAGGGTGGCGGCATTAAGAAGGTTGAGAACCACTGATCTCTGGCATTGGAGAAGGTAGGATTTAAAGTGGATTGACAGCGTTTTCATCATTGGAGATGGTAGGAAGTAAATAAATATTTTGACATTATGTTTAAAGAATTAATATGGTTTCTTTAATTTGTAATATTTTAAAGAACTAAAAGGTAGGCTCATTTAAAAAGTATTATTCAATAAATCTGTTGAGTTCTTTTTATAATCATGGTATTTTAGAAATGCAATTATCTGCAATATAATATGACATATAGAATAATCAATTGAGACTAAATATTTTACCAAGAAAGTTATAGATTGGAAGAAAATGTTTTATTTACTAAAGCCATTATATACAACTATTGTATAAGGAATTGATAAATAAAATTATTAGAATTTGTAGTATTGCAACATAGTCTGACGATGCTACTATTAGTTAAATAAACACATTTTTTATTTTTTTATTAAAGATTTTCAATAATAATAAGAAACATTATAAAAATATTTTTGTTATAAGATAGTTTCTCATTATCCAGCAATGACTTTATCTTACATTCTAAAATTATTATTTTTTCTCAAGAATGGAGATCTTTTACCTGGAAAGACTGTGCTTGTTACAGGTGAGAAAATTAATTTATTTTATAAATGCATTAATACCTATGATGCCAAATCATAAACATCAGTTTCTATCAATAATGGCCTTATAGATGTAGATCATCATTCAGCTGCTATAGCTTTATATATATAAATATTTAAAGGGTTTTATAATTTTCTTCACAATGTATGAATGGGGTAGTGCCATTATGAATTGAAATGATTTAAACAATTTAATGTACGAAATTTCCTATTTATTATTTTAATTAGCTGCTGCTGGAGGAACAGGACAATTTGCGGTAAGTTTTTCAAAGAAATGTGTCATGTTTTTGATTTATCAGAATGTATGAAAATTAATAATTCATCTTTATACAGGGCAAAAGGCAATGTTTTAAAGATTTGTTATAATAATTTGCTCAAGATATTTATGTGTTAGTAGACTCCTGGTAATAAATATCTGCTTAACGATGTTGCAAGCTGCTTTAACTTATGAAATACTATGCAAGAAATTAAATTTTGAAATCAACGATTTTTAAAGATTTGATCACATTTATATTTTAACTATATTTAAGATAATGACATCTCCAGGTTCAAATAGCCAAACAGGCTGGCTGTCATGTGATTGGAACATGTTCCAATGATGACAAGGCTCAGTTTCTCAAGGTAAACTAGGCCACTGTAGTTTTTTCATTTAAATAAGTTTTTGCACTGTTAACCCTTTGAACCTGCGATCCTGCTTTATCTATCTGTGCATTAACCCTTTACAGTACGATGGGCCTGACATATGTCAATTTTTTCCTTACGCCTACAGTCTGTTGCGGCCAAACCCGCCCATTTTGAGGTTGTTTACTTTCATTCTTAGCACAGCGGAAATCCATTGCGCATTACTATTTATAGTTCTACCGGAAGAAAGCCTCTTTGTTGGCATTTATTTTGATACTATTTTGAACGCGGTGTGTTAAGGGCTCATTTTCTACCATTTTTTTAAAAAGTCATGATTTTTTCACTGTAAAAAATGCCTTTCTAAGCCTTGGATAAAATTTTGAAAGAACTTAGGCCTAATGAAGCTTCACTGTTTCATAAATCTAGCAGCGATAGTGAATAATCTGATAGAGGTATTAATTTAAATGTTGCTACTAGTAATAGTGATTCAAGTGAAGAAGATAATAGTAATAGTAGAGACATCAATGACAACGGACCTATCAATTCCACTCCAACTGATCAGCAAGATCATGAATGGTCAGGAATTTTTCTCAAATCAAAGTGGGAGGGCCCCCAAACTGTTTTTAGGTGCAAATTTTGCTTTAATCATTTATTTGTATTTAGGTATTTTTAATTTTATTTTCTTGCTTCTCGTTTATTTTCTGTAAATTAATTTAGGATAAAGATCCTTCATTTAAAATGGAGTTATGTCCCTTTGCTTGGTCGCTGGGAGCAGAAAAGGCTGAATAGGTTTGGACTGTAAAGGGTTAAAAATCCATACCTACCTTAGATCGACAATCCGCATATAATATGTGTTGTAAATACGGAGTTCAGGGTTTACCGTGTGACTTGCGAAAGGTCACAGTAAAGACTGCGCTCATGGATGCATTGTTTTTATTATGTTTTAGTCATGTTTATCGATGTTTAGAGGTGACGAAAATACTAAAAACTGCTACTCTAAAGGACTCAAGCCAGAGTTTAGGTTTATGATAATGTAAATGATTCAAAGGTTTATTATTGGGTTTTGAAAAAGGATTGTAATAAAGCAAATAGACAATGATAGTGACGACTGATTGACTTCAACTTCTAGTGCTATTGATGTGTGCTTTGGGAATCAAAGAACCAACACCAGGTGTACCCTTAGTCCAAGCCAAGGCTTTTATGAAAAATCAGGGTCATATAAATGAACTTTTACTACGCTATTTTGCACCATTTCTTAGACAATTTTCTCCTTGTGATACATCTTATAATACTTATGGACTACTATCAGACAAATTTAGGTTGAAACATATAAAATATATTTAATATTATAATCTTTTGATTTTGTTTGCTTGTGTGTCAGTTAGTGGAATTTTTACCCATGAGCCCAGGGGCATGGGTATTTTAGGACCAGGAGCCAAGGGTTCAAAGGGTTAAGTGAATGCAAAATGTTTTTCTGAACTTAACCTCTTTATAAGAACGGTTAAATTGTCCCAGTAAGTCTAATTAGCGGTGATCTATAATTCGAATTAAAAAAAAACAATAATGAGTTTAAATTATTTGATTAAAGCTTGTATCCGTCGTTAGTGAATGTTCATTATAAAGAAAAAAAAGAAATTATTAAGTCACTTCGGAATTCACTAATATCACTATTTTATTTAAATGTCTTCATTAAATTTTTATTTACTGTGGCATTAAGCATCACTTTAAATAGCTGAAATGAATTTTCAGTGCCCAATCTTTTTCATCCCCAGAGTATTGGGTGTGATCGGACAGTGAACTACAAGAAGGAAAACTTGACAGATGTTTTATCGAAAGAGTATCCTGTAATTATGGACTTTTAAAAAAATAATTTTATCACCGTCATTATGTGCAGTGCTGTTTGCTCTGACTAGTTACAAATTCATCAAATTATAGCTATATTTAGTTAAGATGTAAGCATACTATTCAGAGGACACTTATTCTTTCTCAATTATCTACTTAACAAAATATCTTATTTTTATTTAACAACATCATTATGTGCTTCTTTTAATTAAATGCCTTTATAAATACATTTATTTTATTTACTAAAGAAAGGAATCAATTAATTTGTTAAAATTCTTTTTTTTAAACTTCACAGAAAGGTGTAGACGTTGTGTATGAATCCGTTGGAAATGAAATGCTAGATGCAGCAGTGAAAAAGTAAAGTCTGTAATTAGAAATAATGTGTAAAAGTACATGACCTCTTTTGATGCCTTCTTACTAGAGTTTAACCGGGACAGTTTTTTTACACAACATCTGGGTATTTTGAGAAAATACTTGGTGACTCCAGTTAACTTCACATTTTCTGAAAGAATAGGCCTACAGATAGTCTACACCCTACCTGCCGCCTTTGAACATTGGCCTACAGACAGTCCTACACCATACCCGTGGCTCTTTATTGATTAATGTAATTGTGGCCTCCTTAAGGAAAAAATTTAACCTTTTTACCTGAGTTGAAAGCTTTTTTTTTCACCCAGTACTATTAATATAAAACATGGGTAGGGGGAGGGCCGGTTGTGAAAAGTAAGCAGGACACACCAGTACCAAAATATATATAAGAGATACTTATAGTTGCATTATTTACATTCCAGTTTGGCCATCTTTGGTCGTATCATTGTGATTGGATCAATTTCCAATTATGAGGGTGCAAAAAGTGAAGACTTCTCAACTATGGAACATTCTAGTAAAGTCAACATTCCACTGTCAGTAAGTGGATAAACAATTTTGTTAGTGCTTAATAATATAGAAATGTGGAAACAATTTCATATTCATTTCTTTGAATGTCTACATAACATAGATCAGTCTTAATATGAAAATTTTTTTTTTTTTCACTATGTGAATGACCCCATGTTATATTATAGTTATATAGTCATAGTTAGCATTACATTTATTGCTAAATTTTATTCTGGCAATTCTGATAAAATCAGTAAAAGGAATTTATTTTTTATAAATAATTCCCTACAAAACAATATCTCTAAATTATCTTATTTCAACAAAACATTGAGATTGAATTCTTAAATTGCATTACAATTACAGTCACGCCTCAAAATTTGTCAATTTAATACCAGAAAAGTTGAATTAAGCATCAATTAACTACTCAACAACTCTAGAATCTGAATGTAACAAGTTGACAATATTATTTCTCATAAGCAAAACAACAACGAAATCATTAGAGAACCTAATGGCTCCTTGTGTCATTTAAATTTAATTTTGCTCACAGCTCCTCGCAAAATCTGGCAGCCTCATAGGTTTCTTCCTGCCACACGGTCGCAAGGAATCATCTCGTCATCTCCAGCTGTTAACCTCCCAGTACCTTCAGGGGAAGCTGAAGGTGTTCACAGATAAAGGTGTTGGTGTTCCAACTGGACCTTTCATTGGACTGGATAAAGTAGTGGATGCTGTTGAGGTAATTTTTAAAAAAAAAATGAATCCAAAAAATTACATGTCATACACACATTTTTATTTATCTTTGTATGATAATATCACTGAATTCAATCATTAAAAAAAAATACATTATTCGTGAGGCGCACATGCCTATTTCACGGACTTTCCCTTTCTCTTGGAAAACTTTCCCTATTTTTGCATAATCTCAAATAACTTTTCTCAACCTATCAATCAAATGAATGTTTGAATAGCAAGTGATATGAAATAGTTATGAAGAAGCTAGAATATGTTTAGTTATTGGTTTCAAAATGTTCTATTGTAATATATCTAAAAGATCCTCCAAAGTATGGAATGAATTTCTGTTTTTCCAGTTTTGTTTTTTTTAACCTGTCATTGATTTAACTATCTTTGATTTACCTTTTGTTGATTTACCTGTCATTTATCTGCCTGTGGTCAATTTACCTGTCATTGATTTACCTGGTGCTGATTTTTATTCCAGTACATGTACTCCCGAGGGAATGTTGGGAAAGTCGTGGTTGAACTGAATGAGAAAAGTGCACTGTGAATATAATATTTGATGACAGTACCACAGTACCACACCACAACACACCTACTGAAATGGCAGCTGAACAAAGCAAGATTTACCTTGTGATTTTTTCTCATGTTTTCAAAAGTTTTGTTTACCTTTTCTCAATAACGAGAGTCTCAAAAGGATTTCAATGACACCATGTTGTTAATTTTTGTGTAATCAAAAAATAATTATTTAAGAAAGTGTTCAATTTGTTAGGTTTTTGTGTGTGAAACTTTGTGAAAATTAGAAAATAATTTGAAATTTATGATATTTTTGTGTGTTTACAAACTGTATAGTGGTAGCAGGAGATACTAAGTTTGACTGAGATACCATGCAATGTGGCACTTGGCTCAAGGTTTTAATTTTAAATGATGTATATATCACTTTTGTTTAAGGTAATACAGAAGAATATTAACTTGACATTTTAAAAAATTTGAACGACCATTGTGTTTTAAAATTATTCTTTATCTCATACCTGCAGTTATATTTCAGGAAAATATTCTCATGTCATTAAACAATTGAAATATAATAATTTTGTTGCTGAATTTTTCTGAAATCATCGACTATGACGGCCCAGTAGGGTCTAAATGAATCAATTGTTTTCTTTTAAAGGACATTTGCCAGTCAGTGTAAAATATTGTTCTGATACTCTGCTGAGGTGTAGTGTCAAGATCTTGTTCCCAGTCTTTCTCCTAGTTGAGGAGAAAGCTCACTCATCATTTGGAGCAACTAGACCAGGGGTCATCAAACTACAGCCAGCGGGCTGGATCCGAGGCCAGTTCATCCAGCCCGCCAATGGTATTTGAACTTGCTTGATAAAACGTATGAAACGAGACGTTGTTATACAATTTAAATTTCAATATAATGTTTAGAATACTAGGAGACCTATGTGCGGAGACCTACTGGCCGCTATGCGCCTTAATTTACCATTTTCAATTTTAGATTATTTTATCTAAAAGCCCTTGTTTATGACGCATCTGTTTACCCTCGAGCTCCTAAAATCGTACAATATCGTCTCCAAAAGGTACAATGTGGTATCTTAAAAGTAAATAAATAAACATATAGTATATATAATACAATAACTACTCGCATGGCAGTGCCTAGTGGGATCGAGTTATGATGGCGGCAAAAAAATTTAACTGCTAAAAGTGGACGACCGATGTATATATTAATTAAAAACAGGGGTCACTTTTGTTGCAGACGTGTATATCTCTTTTGATATTAATTTATATTGAGTGGAGTTCAGATCACATTATCACAGTCTATTACTGGTAAAAATAAAGTTAGGGGTGAAATTTAACGTGGTTCAAATTCGAAGTCAGATCAGCATAAAACAAGATGTGTTTATATAAGAAATTAATTAACAAATGGTGACATCATTAAAAAAAAA